GTGGGTTTGGGGACACGGGGTGATCTGTCCTGTGTGATGGAGGTGGGTTTGGGGACACGGGGTGGTCTGTCCTGTGTGATGGAGGTGGGTTTGGGGACACGGGGTGGTCTGTCCTGTGTGATGGAGGTGGGTTTGGGGACACGGGGTGATCTGTCCTGTGTGATGGAGGTGGGTTTGGGGACACGGGGTGATCTGTCCTGTGTGATGGAGGTGGGTTTGGGGACACGGGGTGATCTGTCCTGTGTGATGGAGGTGGGTTTGGGGACACGGGGTGGTCTGTCCTGTGTGATGGAGGTGGGTTTGGGGACACGGGGTGGTCTGTCCTGTGTGATGGAGGTGGGTTTGGGGACACGGGGTGATCTGTTCTATGTGATGGAGGTAGGTTTGGGGACACGGGGTGATCTGTCCTATGTGATGGAGGTGGGTTTGGGGACTCAGGGACACCGGTGTAGTGAGGAGCATCAAAGAACCCAGAGTGGACTCTTGCAGTTGTTTGGTGAAATGTTTCCATGGCTTGTACAGAGGCTGGCGTGGAGCCGGAATGCTTCTCTACTATAGTAGGAAAAAACAAAACAAAACAAACACCTCCAAATGTATTTTGTGGAGATAGTCAGGTGAATTTTCTGGGAGCTTGCTGTAGGGAGAACAAGAGAGGACTTAGAGGCAATGGAAAAGCCTCGATTTGGCTGCTGGAGGGTATTGTTGGGACTGGCAAGGTTCTTTACTGAGCTAAGAACAGACAGAGAAACAAGATCACAGAAGAAAACACACAGATATGTCTGGGTAATGCTACCGTTGAGATGTCCTGACTACACCCAACAGGGTAGGCATAAACCATCTGGACCTGCGTATGCACAGCCCAGGAAATCCACTGAGGGTGGGCATACTTGATGGCATCAGCATGTAGGCATCAGAGTGTGGCTTAGAACAGGAAATCCTAGAAAGAACTGGAAGGACTTGAGTACCAATCACTGGGACACACTGGACATCATATGTGGTGGGCCCTGGGATATACTGGACATCGTATGTAGTGGATCCTGGGATACACTGGACATACGTGATGGGTCCTGGGATACACTGGACATCATATGTGGTGGGCCCTGGGATACACTGGACATACGTGGTGGGTCCTGGGATACACTGGACATCATATGTGGTGGGCCCTGAGATACACTGCACGTATGTAATGGACCCTGGGGTACACTGCACATATGTAGTGGGTCCTGGGATACACTGCACATATGTGGTGGGTCCTTGAATACACTGCACGTATGTGATGGGCACATGGAGAAAGAGCAGCGAGCTGCAGATGAAGAGGGAAAGCTGGTGAGGAGGATAGGCAGGAGACGGGGCTCCAGGACAGGCAAATGGAGGAAAGGGATTAAGAACTCTTAGCCAAGAGGATCAGTAAGAAAGGCGTAGGGAAACGGATGATAAACTTGACTCTGGAGGCTACAGACACTGCTGTAGAATATTATTTTAAGGTGTGCTACTTCTGTGCATTCTCTGGAACATGTATTTAATGACACAAATATGTGTTTGATTAAATAAAATTCACCTGCAGTCAGGAAGCTGGATCAGCAACTAGCTGACAGGACTTCGTAGGGAGGAGCCAGGTGGAGAAAGGTCTATAAGGAGGGGCGAGAAAAAGCACGAGGACTTCTTGGGAGACTTGAAGAGGTGAGCCGGGCGAGCTGCGTGCTGTTCAGCCTCTCTGGGAAGCAGGACTCTACCTCAACCTTTGACTCTTGAGTTCTTCATTGGGACAGTGATTTAGTTAAGTTTCCTTAGTAGCTTTGAAAGAGTTGGTGCCTGAGGGGACAAAATTCCCTCAGGCTTCGGCTCTTGTGGCCCAGCCGCTTGATGGCCTAGCCACCGCTGATAGCAGCAGAGTGGCAGCTGCTGACAAGGATAGCGGTAGCTTAAAAGGCAGCAACAACTGAAAATGAGGAGCAGGACGCCTCATGAAGAGTCCTCAGCACAGGTTGGAGGGATCCATCCTGGCATTATGTTGGGAAAGACGATCACCAGACGGCAGAGACAGCGAGTCCAGAGAAGTGACCTAAGAACAGAAGTGGGGGGTGAGGGGGTGAGGGAAGCAGATGGGCTTCAAGGAGGAGTGTCCTGTGCTTATGGGTGTGTGTGTGTGTGGTGTGTGCTGTGAATGTGCGCGCAGTGCGCAGCTGCACATGTATGTGTGGCATGCTTGTGTCTGTGTGCGGTACCCAAGGATACGTTGTGCATGTGGAGGGCAGAGGTCAACCTCAGATGTTTGTCTCAGCTCATTTTTGGAGACAGTTTCCCCCTGAACACGGAACTCACCGTTTTGACTAGACTGTCCAGGCAGTAAGGTGCTGAGATCCGTTTGTCCCCACCTGCCTGTTCCCCTGCTGGGCTTGCCTTGCCTGCCTTTTACACACACCCTGAAGATTCGAAAGCCAGGGTCTTGTACGGCATACTCACTGAGACACACCTACACTATGAGATCTCTTAGCTCTCCAAGGGGGGACTTACAATGGGAGCATGAGGGCTGTCTGTGAACAGGATGATCTTGTATAGACGCAGGAGCCTAGCCAGAAGGAATGGGAAAGGGCAGGAAACAGGCTGGCACCTGTAGGACTGTCTCTCTGATAGGACAGTGTCGCTTCATGCTGGCAGGCAACGGGGTGACATCGAAGGCAGACAAGGCAGGCTTGTCGATTTTGTGGGCAGTGGCAGCACCTCCATTTGCCTCTTCTGTTCTTCATCGAGGAGAAGTAGGTGGTATGGGGGCTTGGACATGGGGAAAGCCAAACTTGCGGGAGTGTAGCGAAATTGCTATGTTATGGGCAATGCCTGTCTATTAAATCACACTGTCATGAATTGAATGTGCTTGTTACACTGACAATGTTTTCCTCCAACTGTGCTTAGCTGCTTGGGGGTGGTGAAGAATACCAGGGTTAACCAGAAATACAGGTACTGGGAGGGCAGGATGGAAAGGGAATTAGTGGGTGGTTTTAATACTCTAAGGTTTAATGGTGGATGGGGTGCAGCTGTGGGATCCCTGTAGGCAGCTGGTTGTGAGCAAAAACGGAATAAGCACAAACAGGGAATATTTCTTTATACAGTTGGCACTTTGCTGGGCATCCATATGGGAGGCTAACACCAGTTTATCTCTTCCAGATCATTCCTTGGTACCCACTAGCAATCCAAAACCACAGTGCCTAAGTAGCTATATCCAGAAGACCCTTCCCTTCTATAGCTAGGACAGATGGAAAGGACCAGTGTACCTTGAGGCCAGTAAGAAAGGCTGGACCTCACAGTGATGTACCTTTATTAAGACTACAGTGTAGTAGAAGCCAAACTGGAAGGCAGATCTCTCTTGCCAATGAAAGAATTTATAAACTAGACATAAAGGGCCAACAAGAAAAAGACTTATTTAGAAGATGGAGGATTTGAGAAAGGAAATTCCCACATGCCAGTTTGCCAGGAAAGACCACATTGGGGTACTTGGGGCATCCATTTTTATGGGTTTTGAGATGTTGATGACAGGGACAGTCTTGGGTGGGATCATTTGAATGAATCAAATTTTAAAAGTGAAAACAGAAAAAAATATCTATTCAATGTAGTCTCAGTGGCAAGGAGGACAAAGAGATCCAACTGTACCTTTTGTGATAGTGTGCTTACATGACTGCCTCAGGCACATGACAGTTACTGATTAGGAACACATGTAGTAAGTCTAATTTTCTTTTACTGTGGAGTACCACCAGCCCCAGGGAATACACTTGCTACCTATGGGATGGGGTTAGGGAACTGTCCATGTCAAAGAGCTTTGTAGGTGGTAATGACTTTAAATATGGGGAGGGTGGAGAAAGAGAAAGGGAAAGGGAGGGAGGGAGGGAAGGAGGGAGAGAGAGAGAGACAGAGACAGAGACAGAGACAGAGACACAGAGAGACAGAAATGGGAACATTGATGAGGGTCAAGTTCTGTATGTTTGGACAAGATGGATAAGCAGCTTGCTTGGTTATATGTAAAATAGGGAGGAGTGTGTGAGTGTGTTAGGGCGGTTGCCACTCTCCCTGATCCCTGATTTTCTACCCTGGCAGCATTTTCTCATTGGCAGTTTCTCGGGTGTTAGCAGGACTTCCTCCAGTTAGCTCTGAACTCAGTAATTCCTTGTCCCACTCAAGAGTCCATTGAGGAAGGGGCTCCTGGGAAGTACGAGTCCTCTGAGCTGGAAAGTGAGTGGTGGGACAGCGTTAGCAGCAGAGGACCTGAGACTCTTTTTGGCATTTGAAGGTGCAGTGCTGGTTTGGCGGCTAACTGCGTCCAGGGCAAGCAGGATTGTTTATGTACTTCCTAAGTGACATGGGGAGGATTCCGGCTCATCAGAGGTAAAGGATGTAGGGCAAGGATCTCATGAGATAGAGTTGTTTAGATGGAGGTTCTTGACTCAAGTTGTCTAGGCTCAGCCTTGAAACCTCAAATAGTTTGCTTATCCCGTGTGAGTCTCATCCTTCTGGAGATTGGAATGGGTGTGCTGTGTACAGCACAGGCGGTGATTGCTGTCTGAGGTCTAGCCTTGAATTCCTCACACTTATTTTCTCTGTGGTGCTGTGTCCCTGTTGTGGTATCGATGAGGTGCCGCTGAGCCTCCTATGTTGGAGGCTTGACCTCTAGATGGTAGATTCAATCACTGAGAGGTAGTTGCAACGTGAGTATTCCTGCCTCATCAATGGATCATTCACTGATAGACTGGTAGTTCAGTGGTCTCATTGGACGTGTTAGGTAGTAGACCCTAACTGGAGGAGCAGTATAGCTTGACTCAGACCCTTCTCTCTGTTTCCTGGTGCCTTCAGATGACCAGTGTTCATCATGCCTCTCCACCATGGTGTTCTACACCCACCTCAAGCCCAAGTCTATAGGACCACGAGGGTTTTCTGACAAAACTATAGGACCCAGAGACGATGGGTTGGCATTTCTGAAACCATGAGCCAAGGCATGCATTTATTTTTCTCAGGTATTTATCACAGCGATAGCGACTGACATACTCCACTTCCTCTGTGTCGTCATTGTCATCAGTACTGGTATGGCCATTGAATGGTGAGCACCTTGATTTCAACTTAACTCTGATGTAAGTACGATCGCCAGACATCCACACATGACTGTGCTGGGGAAATATTGACAGAGAACTCATCTTGTTGAGCAGGGTCAGGGAAGTTATCTGAGAGAGAAAAGAGCATGCTCAGATGAAGAATGGCTTTTAAATGGCAAAAGGTGAGACGGACTAAAAAATGTGTTTCTTCCTCCTTCAATACTCCCTGGTAGGTCCTAAATTCCTATCTGTCCCTAAACTTCATGGCTTTATTTGTTAATAACTGCTGCCCACTTTTTTTTTCTGAATGCTTTTGGCCTAAAACTCAAGCCTATATTTTTTAAAAATGTGTACGTATTATGGTATATATGTGTGTGTTGGGAATGGGAACCCATGCACACAACGACAAGAGAGAATATCCAATGTCTTGTTATATGACTTTCTTCCTTATTCCATTGAGACAGAGCCTCTTACTGAACCCGGAGCTCTCCATGTTTTTCAGCTAGGCTAGTTAGAAGTGAAGTCACAGCAATCCTCCTGTGTCTGCCTCTCTAGAGCTAGTGTTACAGGCATGTGCGACATGAGATTTTATGTGACTGCCAAGGACTAAACGGTACCCAGGCTTGTACAGCAGGCACTCTTAGCTACTGAGCCATCTCTTCGGTTCCTTATTTTTAATAATATGTACCAGCCTTTCTCTGCCTTCTCTCTCTTCCTTGACACCCCTTTGTCACTCCCCAGACCTGCTGTGGACTTCGGGAATGTGTGTTCTCCATCATAGGTGCACGGAGTTGGGTACGGCCGTGAGGTGACTTTAACTGGTCCCAGAAGCTCTAGAGTACAGATGGTCTGAGGTGCTGCTTGCTCTCCAGGATTTGCACTCTTTAGCCGTTCAGTCTTCTAATAGTGCTTAACCCTTCAGTCCCAAGCTCCATGCTCGCCAGCATCGTGAGTTCCCCAAGATAACTTCTTACCATAGACTCTACCGGTCAGTACCCGTGGGTGCTTTTGTATGGTCTTGAGAAAACACCTACCTGTGTGGGAAGCAGAGAGTCCCTCGATTTCTAAGAATGCTATCTTATCCAACCCACTCACATACACACATTAATCTGAACCACCCATCCATCACTGAAGGAATCTAGAAATAATGGCGTAGTTGAAATTATACGTCAAACCCAGATAAATGATTAAGAAAACACATATTTTAAAGAACTCAACTGTTCATAAGAAGTAAAAGAGGGTAAATCTAGAACCTAGTATAATGAATTAGCTCAGAACCTTGCAGGCAAGTTTGTCTTCCTGGCCTTCTTGGCTTCCCTCACGTCTCTCGTGTCCCGTCCACCTCCTCCCCAGAAAATGTGTACTCCAGACATTGCAACTACAAACTGGAACACCTTCCATTCTGGAAACCAAGAAAAGGCTTCGGAATGTGCACTGGTCGAAGGTGGTTCCATTGTTCTTGTAACCCCTGAAATTGTGGTGCCTCTGTTTCTGCTGAGCCATTGCTTTCACAGGATTTTCTAAGGACCCCCCAAAGATTTAAGAATCCTTCCTAAAAGCTACTTGTTCTCCAACCTTACCATAGTGGAGACAGAGAGGAGTTGTGGAAGTTACTGTGTTGTAGGATGATAGACTAGCTTTATTCTTTATAAGATCAGCTTAAACATTTGACAGGTTATGAGCTGGGGAGATGAGTTATTTGGTGGAATACTTGCCATGCAAGCATGAGGACCTGAATTTGGATCCTCAACACCTTGTAAAAAAAAAAAAAACGGGTGGAGTAGTGTGCATCTGTAACCTCAGCATTTGGGGGGAGGAGGCAAGCAGATCTTTGAACTCAGTGGCCGGCTAGCCAAGGCCAGTAAATGAGATCCACGTTTAGCGAGAGACCCCAACTCAAAACATAAAAAGATGGGTGCGCTGGTGGAAAGGTGTTCTCAGGCGAACTGCTTTTGCTGCCCAAGGCTCATGATCTGAGTTCTAGCTCCAGGACTGTCAGTGACATGAGGACAAAATTCTGAAAGTTGCCTCTGACCTATACATGATCACCATGGCATAAGAGTGCCTGTGCATATATGCATACACTGTTTGTTTGTTTTCGAGACAGGGTTTCTCCGTATTGTTTTGGAGGCTGTCCTGGAACTCGCCCTGTAGACCAGGCTGGCCTCGAACTCACAGAGATCCACCTGCCTCTGCCTCCCAGGGATTAAAGGTGTGCGTACACTATTAAAGAAAAGAAAAATAAGGTAGATAGTTATCTAGGAAAACACCTAAGCGTGGCTTCTGGGTATCACAGGATTGTGCCCACATATGCATGCAGGCATGCACACACACACACACACACACGACAGCATATTAAATTTAGGAGTTACATTTTATCTAAGTAGATTGATGCGTCTATTAGGGTTTTCACACATGCACACACACACACACACACACACACACACACACCTACACCTGTGCAATAGAAGTGACACCTGATGAAGAATGACTGTACCCTTTAAAGCAGAGTGGCACCGTGAGTCGCTTGTTGTACACGCCATCATAAAGATGGGAAAACTAAAGGTGAAAAGTATCCAGTGTTTTGACAAATTATGGAGGTCTGACTCAAACCCAGGTATCTAGCTTTCAATATAGAAATCATATTCCTTTAACTTTGATGTCAGAGTTCCTTGTTAAGTGTGACATAATAGAGCACAGCGATGCTAAACTAAAACTAACACTAATGAGAATGAACACTATTCTAGATGAGTGATTTGATGCTACTTTGATGAGTTAAGGAAAATTATATGTTCTATCTTAGCATATATTGCCTAGTAATAAACTGACAAAAGAAATTGTAGCATTTCTCCATCTAATACCATTTCAGAAGGAGCAACTCATCTTATCATTGCTGTTTCTAGAATTATGGAAATAAAATGTAAGTCATGATGCTATTTATCTTGGGACTGTTGACAGCATATTATAGGGGGTATTGTGATATTCCTGGTAGAACAGAAAGAATGTAGATGTCAGCATAGCCCACCAGACACACTCTGTGGCACCCTACGCACAGTATCTGCTTGTAACACACCCATTTTATGTACCTTTATCTACTACAACTAATGATGGAATTAATAGTATTGAATGTTGGCATCATGCTACATAATCATGCTATGTAAGTCTGTAAATTGTAAATATTGAGACTTAAAGTATGTGTGATTAATTAGGATACTGTTTTATTACTAAGTTCATCATTGTAGTGCAATCAGTACATCACTGAATGGCTAATATTTGATGGGAAAAATCTCATGCAGGGCAATAGAGCAAAGGAATTCGTCCCCGCATCAAAGATAGGAAAGATCTATGCCATGCATAGTGATTTTCAAGGCTTAGTAATGTAACGATGAATTGACTATTCTGCAGCTCATGGTTCTGCTTTTGGGAATCAATGCCAGCCACTCTGCCCAGTGTAGACTGGTGTGATCTGGATTCACACTTCCTTTGTCACTGCTTAGATCACAGGTGGCCTTAGCATAGTAGACACATTGTTCTCTCCCATCGAGGGCCCTGGCACAGTGGCTGTCAGGGGAAATACACAGAGTATGGTAATCCTCCTGTTTCTGAGGCCCTTGAGAGAGATGCTGATGCACCACGTCGTGAAGCAGCAGCAGCAGCAACACGGATCTCTCTGTGAGAACCCGGCATGGACGTTTGATGCCGGCGCCGGCAGTTCAGACAGCACAGTAGAGTATTTGTTGAGTGGAAGAGCACTTGCCTGAGTCTTGACAACACAGGGTGTGAAAAGAGTAGCATGGCAGGAACTGACCTGGTGGCCAGTGAAAATGGAACGCGAGCTCTTGGATCTACTCCTGGCTTCAGCTCCGGCTTTGTCCGCCACAGCCTGCCTGACAAGTCAGGCAGTATAGTATGTCCAGCCTTACACCCATTGTCTGCGGCATGCATCTCCTCAAAGTTGGCTTCTATGCTCAGCTCCCTACCTCTGCAGCTGTGGCAATACTGTCCCACAGCTCACGCCACAGGGACGCCTCTTCCTGCGCTTCCTGCTTGCTCATGCCCTTGTTTGGCTGAGGGTCTGCTCCGATGTTAGCACTCTTCTGTGAACTGAGAATACGACAGTGAGACCCAGACAAAGTTCCCGCTGAGTTTTCCATGCCTGTATTCTCTCGGGGAGAGAGAAACTGGGGAGAGCGATCCCCAAATAACTGCTATGGGAAAAAAGTCAACCAGGGAAGGTAAGAATGCCTTCATAAAATGGGGGGCAGGGACGGCCACCTACAAAGCTAAGACTGGAAGTGAGAGTGATGTGCACCGGTGTCTGGGGGTGAAATGGTGCCTTGGACAAAGAATGGCAACTGCAAAGGTCCTGGCCGAGGTTAAGCCTTCCCTGCATATTTTAAGAGCAGTGAGGACATTCTGCCTAAGAGCAGGGACAGGGAAATAGGATGAGGTCAGAGGAGAGATGGAGAGTAAGGGAGGACTTTGTGGGTCATGGTTAAGTAAGTTCCTTTACTATCATATCGTGTTTTCCCAAGAGCATCTAAAGACATCAGTACACCTAGAGTGTGCTCCATTGCCTTGTACTTTATCCTAACGGTCCATATCTATGATTGCCTTGCATGTTATCCTAATGGTCCATTTCTGTGATCTACAATGTGCTATTACAATCCTGGCAACTGCCTGACTTCAGATTCCAGCCGTGTGAACCTACAGCGTAGTTTTCCTCTGGTGCCTCCATTTCTCTGTCTGCAAAATGGTGACAGTGACTTAATCGACTTGGATCTGAAGGAAGAACCCCAGAAGTCTTAGCTTTTTGCAGTAGCGTCAGTATGGTAGAATGGGGCTTCAGGAGACATCACTCACTAGTGATCGGCACATTTGGTAGCAGTTTATTTTTGCTAGCTGTAGTGTTGTAGGACCAGGAGATAAGGTTACTCTATCAGCAAAATCCCACAATTCAGCAGGAAATCTGAGAACTTCCAGGCTGCATGGGGGCGGGGACATATTGACTTGGGTGCCTCTGAGGAAGGGGTATTTAAGATGAGCTCAAAGAGAGAGAGAACAGGCATGTGAAGATGAACCCAGCATGCATAGAGGGTATAATGTGCCCGAGCAAGGACCACACCCAGAGGATTGCAGAGCAGTGGGATGCAGCTGTCACGGGACAGAGTGATGAATGCAGGCAGAGTCCAGAGCTGAGACTTCTCAGTGCTATGTATGGATCAGTAGTTCTCCAATGTGGCTCCAAGTAGCATCCTCTAGAGTTACAAGTAGTTAAGACTCTTGTGATATACCAAGTGATCCTTAGAGAATATTTCAGTAACTACGGAGTACAATAATCTCTATATGTCACATCGGACAAGTCATGCAACTGGGCATCTGCTTAGAAATGTTGCTTTTGCTGACCGCATTAGGAATTAGTGTGGCCTCAGCTGCTCTGCAAGCACACAAGGATGTAGTTTGAGCCAGGCCTTGTGACAAGGACCTGAACCCCACTCAACAGTTGCACGCAGGGCTTGAGTTAAAGGACAGTCCCATCTGGTGTACGGAGGGCAGAGGTTCTGAAGCCCACAGAATCATAGCCAGGGGCATATAGCATTAATAGGCACGGAATAGTCAGTGGTAAGAACACATTTGATAAAAAGGGATTAAGAGTTGTCCTTGGGACAGCGGTGGGTTGGAGAAAGTTATTTACCGGAAAATTTGATAAAAATAATGCCCGCTTGGTTGGCAGTGCCTTTGGACCAGACAGCATGAGGGGTCTCCGGGGCCATTTACAGGGCTGTGATGGCCCACAATGCCGCTAGGCACAGTGTGACTCAACTCTGTTACCTTTATGTCAGAGCGAAGGACAATTCCATTCTGCTATTTAGAGCTGCTATCAGGAGTGTAATTAAAAATATATTCTGTACCACCAGTACCAAAGTACATACACTGACACACAGTTGGCATCTTTTTGCCAGTTCCTCAGAGTTACAATGACGTAACATGGGTCGTAGGTTCCAGTTTTGTTACGTCACCACCATTTCCTAGTATTAAGTATGGTGTGTTTTTTATTTGTATGAGTGACAAGTGCATTTATTCATTCTTTGGTGCACAGAAGTGAACAGTATGGATGACCACCATCCTATGACCCCACGGTGGCTACATTTTTTGCGCGTGAAAGTATTGTTATAAGTGGAGTTTGAGGCAGAGTCACATTGAGGAACACATTGATGTGATGTTGTTATACCCATCAGCCATGGAACTATTTTAGAAAGAGGTGAGTATACACTGGAATTTTTTCGTTGTTGCTGTTTTGAAAATTTAGGCAACCTCTAGCTGGCTTTGAGATAGGCATCCCATAGTGCAGGGAATTTTTCCCTAGGCAAGGAAACTGTTCCACCTTTTTTGGTGACCATGATCCTGTAGTTCTGTTTTTCGGTTTGGGAGCCAGCATTTCAGGAATGGTTATGGGTCTGGGTAGTTTCATGTCCTGTAATATCTAAGATCTGGTTTCACCTCTTATTTATGGGCAAAGCCAGAAGCCAAATGAAGAAGAAGAAATGAGCTTCAGAGTCTTTCATGGTCATTCTTTATTTCTTCCAAGTCTTTTCAGAAGAATTTCCTGGGATTTATGACTTCTTTATTTCTACCCTTAAATAGTTCAGTGCTTGACTGTTAAGAGGGCTGTGTTCTCTTCCAAAGTATGATCTCTATTGAAGTCGGATTCAACAAACCCAAGGTTCTATGTAATGAAAACTCCCCAATGTAGAGGATAGTTTGATTTAGTTCTGTAAATATTTTTAAGATTTGAGTGGAACATCTAAACGATTGTTAGATATTTGTCTAGAGTCTGCCTTGGGGGCACAGTCTCTGCCAACAGCATCCTTACGGGTTCCTGGAATAGGTGATGCTCTTCCAACCATGACTTTTTTTCTTTTCTTTTTTAGACTGTTTTTCTCAAGCTCATAAAATGATAATTTCCAAACAAGGTGAGATTATGATTTTAATATACTTTATTTAAAAAGTACACAGTTTTAAATTGGTTTCCATGGTTCTCAAGCAGAAGGGACACTGCCTACCTAGTACAGCCCCATTTCTGATGAAGGATGATCATGTGGCAAACTCACATTTGCATGAGTGGCAAAGTAAAAAGGTAACTTTTTGTCAATGTATCTGTAAGAGTTCCTATCACGCACAGTTTAAAATCATGAGATGCTGATGGCTGGCCTACGCTTATGTCTTCTAAGTCGCACCATATCTGGGTTCACAGTTCACCCATGATTTATAGCATGCCAAAAGAACACCTCAGCAGTCAGCGTCACCTGGAGAAGAGACTCAAAGCCAGGGGGAGCAGCAGCAGGGCCACCTGGGCCTGGAGACTTGACGCACCCCCACATTCCCTTGCATTCTCCTGTGGGGAAAGCAGAGGCTGGTTAGAGCAGAAACAGGTTCCAGGACATTAAGTTCAGCAGTTTCCATACTGATGAGGATTCTAGACTCTTCTGACTCAGTGATGGAAGGATACAGGTTTGTCTAAATCCCACCAAGTTAGAGGTCCAGATACCTAAATGTGGTTGTCAATGCACATACTATCTAAATTACTCTTTGAAAATTATTTTACTTTTTAATGTGTGTGTGTCATGGGGCATGACTGTGAGTGCTGTGCCTGTGGTGTCCAGAAGAGGGCATCAGATCAACTGGAGTCAAACCACTTGAAGTAGGTGCTGGGAGCCAAACCCCAGACCCTTGGGAAGAACAGAATGTGCTCTTCACCGCTGAACTGCATCTCCCAGGCCCACTTTGAAAGTTATGTAGACCAGTGGTTCTCAACCTTCCTAACTCTGCTGCGACTTTTTAATACAGTTCCTCGTGCTGTGGTGACCCCCAACCCTAAAGTTACTGTCATTTTGCCGCTGTTGTGAATCATGTAAATACTTTTGGATGGAGGTCATGGCCCACGGGTAGAGTGCCCGCCATTGGAGTAGAAAAGGGCTGTCCCTGTAGGCGTCCGCTGTGGTCTTACCAGCGCACAACAATTTCTAGTCAGAGAGGGAATGAAGCTCAGAAACTGCTTCTCATATCATCTTTCTTTTAACTTGGGGGAGAGAGTCCCTGTCAGAAAAGTCACTTTCTGTGTTCCTTTTTCTTAAATGCATCTACAAGTGTTGTCAACGCCATTATTCTCCTATTCTGGCTATTTTCTTATTAATGGGTGTCACTTTCTCATCTGTTCTTTGCCAAAAGCCGCTAGATGTAAGACTCCACCCTTCAGTGCGATTTGCCCATGCCTCTGGCTCTGGGGAAGGGACCCAAAGAAGGAGGCTGCAAAGCTCGAGGCTGCCATACCTCTGAACTAGACCTAGGTATCTCTTCACTTTGAATTACTCTAATAATATTGGGCTGTTGCGGGTTATAAACTTCTTTAGTATTGTTACTGACTGTGTTACATCTTTCTTAGGTATTCCAAGCTGTTTTTGATTTCCCTTTTGACTGTAGATGGGAATTTTTTGTTTGTTTCTTGAGGACACGGTTTCTCTGTGGCTTTGGAGGTTGTCCCAGAACTCGCTCTTGTAGACCAGGCTGGCCTCGAACTCACAGAGCACTGGGATTAAAGGCGTTGTGCCACCAACACCCGATGTGGGAATATTCTTAATTTATTATTGTAAAAATACAGTACTATAGGTAGTATTGACTTTTAACATCTTAAAAACTGGTGATCTTATAGTACGTCAAAATTATGTGTTATTTGAATTTACATAGACACGAAGGAGGCTGAGGTGACATTTTCAACAGCAGGTGTCCAATCTTCTCTATGGTTGATCTAGGCAACCTTTCTACTTTGGTAGGTGAGGAGTTAGTTCATTTATGGACTTATTTTTCTTGTTTTAAAATGTTGTCGCCTACACTACTACAGGTGCAAACTCACCTTTGTGAGAGTGGGCTGAATCCACACTCACTACCAAGGTGTGACAGTTAAGGGATTGGGATGCAGGTGTGTCTAACCCTGCTCGCACACCTCCCAGGAGAGCAATGAGTGCAAGCCAGCAGATCTGTATCAAAAGGCTGGACTTAGCATTCACCTCCATCAGCAGCAACCATCTGATACTACGTTGCCGCTTTTCTCTAAGCGAGTTTCCTGCAAAAATCCACCTGAAATAATCAGTGGAAATAATGCTATCTCCCATGTAAAATAAACCATGATGGTCAGAGCCACCTTGTGCATGATAAAATCATAACACATAGAAAGCCAGAAAAAAAAAGATTTTAAAATATATACGGACGCCAAAGGAAGAGCTCACTAAGCAGAGATGGGCTGGATACCCAGATCTGTTAGCTGTCACGTATTCATTCCTGTTGTAGTTTTCTGAAAGCAATTATTTTCCTCTGGAGTCAAGTTTTCAGCTGCAGGCCTTGGTCATCGTGAGATGTACTCATGGTGAATCTGGTGGGAAGAGAAAACCGACAAACACTTCTCTGACTTGCCTCAGGGTGGAAGCCGTGGCAGGATTCCGGACGCCTCCTGATCTTCTGAGCCTTTAAGCGCTCGCACTTAAGAGATTCGTTATGTTGACTGTAGTTAAGGCATGTTCCCGAGGATCGCTTCTCTGGCCCTGAGTTCCGGGGGCCACAACCTGGCCCTAAAGTGGCTTAAGCATTTTTCTCCGAACACAGGTAAAGGACGTCACCTTCCCCTCTTTGACAAACAGTTCCCTCCTGTCTTTCCTGTTGCTTCCCCTTACCAGCTGGACTCACACCAAAAAGGATATACCTGATTTCAATGGGCGCCATGGTGATAGGAGCCACAGACTCACAGAGGCAGCTGCTGTCCACCACCACCATGAACAGATTGCTACTCGGGATTTGCTGGATGACAAAGGACCTGTGGGAACAGGAGGTGACAAGACAGTGAGGGGCCATTTACCATCTGCCTTCATTTCATTTCTGCTACTTCGATGCAATCCCCTGACCACGGGACTTAGGAAGAAAGCATTTGTTTTAATTCCCAGCTTCAGGCTATTCAGTTCATTGTGGGGAAGCCACAGCTTAGGAGGTTGACACAGCTGGTCACATGGCATCCGTATACATTAGGAGCATGGAGCAGTGGATCCAGGCACTCTCATGCTCAACGGATTTTCTCCACTCATATAGTTTAACAGCCCTTGCCTAGGGAATGATGTCTCCCACAGTGGGCGGATCATCCTGCCTCAGGTAACATAATCAAAATGAATTGGCCAACTTGGTATAGGCAACCACGCATTAAGATTCTTTTCCCAGATGATTCTAGATTGTGTTCACTCGACAACTGAAATGAACCATCACACACTGTCTGCCTATATAGGAGCACTTCTGTCCCTTAGGTCCAACCACAATATTTGATGGAGCCAGCTTCAGAGAAGTTGCCTCCCTCAATTGGGGTGCTTTAATTAAAAAAAAATCCTAAACTGGAATGAGAAAGCAACAGCTGTATTCTCTTGAAGTTAGTGCCATTCATCTGGAGAGTCTGGGGTTTCAAATAGAGAAATCAGTCAGAACTGGCTAAGTCATGTCAGTTTTCAAAATGTACCCTCTTAATATCTGATTTCATTCTCTAGGATTAGATTTCAGGACGACCCAAGCGAGTTATCTCCTGTTTCCCTGCCAAGCGCTTCTAGTTTGGTCAGGAAGTATCCAGGGCCCAAAGCATCATCTCCTACAGGACTCTCTTCAGTCGGAGCTTGCCCCCTCTCTTCCAAGGCTGCACAGAAAAAGACCCCTTCCTGTGCCACTGTGTTCTCTTATCTGCCCGGGAGAGAGGAGGCTGTTTCCAGTGACATTTATGCTAGACACAGAGGAGGTTCTAGAATCCATATTAATTTCAGGTCTAAGATTGTAAAACAGCTCCACCCTTTGGGATCCACTGAACCAGAGTGGTCTGAAGAAGCTGCCTGGACTTCAAGGATCTCGCGTGACTAGAGCATAGGGAGCGTGCAAAGATTTGGGATACTGCAGGGTGAAATGCAAAATTATCTTGGTCCATCTTAGTCCCTTTAATAACCATCCTCTTTAACTTTGTATTGATCTTAACATTCTTGGGAGTATTAGAGAATCTGGGAATAATCTTCTAAGAGCCCTGACCTCCACCAACACTAAAGCTAAGAATGCTAAGATCACATCAGAAAGCTTGCTTTCTTAAACAGCCTACCTCCCTACTGCCCCCACTAAGGTATTTGGAAAATGCATTTACTTTATTATTTTGTTTAGTTAAGTGACATAAAAAGTGGATGTAACTTCATGGTAGACTATGTATGTCATTCAGGGTGACCTGCAAATGTGTTTTCCAGCCATGGTCATTCATTATCTTTTCATTTCTATTAAAACAGGCACATTATTTTATATCAACAGTTTTGGTTCCTACGTGGACCCCCAAGAGAGTATCTGCTTTTGCTAGATGAGTCATTTGGATTGCTGCCATGCATCAGCGTGAACTGGCTATGTCCCTAATCCCAGAACATGGAGCCTCTTCAAGGGGATATTGGTGAGTCTTTTCTAGGCAAGCATCCTGTTTTTGACTGACAAGTCCTTTGCTTTATTCTGAGTTCAGTGTTATGTCTGGGTGTCCTCTTATAAAACCTTGTTTGAACTTCGGTTTATTATCAGTTGGCTTTTTTTTTTTAACATGGCTCCTCCGTTATCTGTATTTGTAGTTTAGTTTGTCTTTCTCGCAATCATTAAAATATCCATATTTTAGTATAGAATTATTATGAGTACCTAATTCTAAAGGTGCCAGGATAAGGGGTACTTGCTCCATCTGGCTTGAAAGGGTACAGGTAAGAAACTAACTGAACTTTGTGGATATGCAGGGAGTGCTCCTCAGTTATAACTTTGTGCCTGGGTCAGAAAGAATGCTACCGGACCATCCTGGAAGACATACTTAAGGAGTCTTGAGCTCTGCCACCTTCCATAGACATGGAGGATAAACTCATGTCATAGTGGGAGGAACTAGACTTCCCCAGTATCTGCTGTCTCCTAATGGAGCCTGGGCAAGCTCCCTGTGGTCCACAATGACCAGTGCCTCAGATGCCAGCATGGCATGAGCTCATGCCATCTCATTCTGAAGACCTGGAAATTGGTTTATAGCTCGCGCAGACCCAGTCATCTCTCATATTTTCATTCTGAATCCCAAAAACTATCTCAGGACTATGACAGTTAGTACTACAACATCTGGCATCTCTTTTTTTCTGTGTGACTACAGAATCGACCCCTCGAGATGCTGCCCCACTGAGATGTGGCAGCTAATGTTACAAACCCTCGTCCAGCATAAAGTAACACAATTACCTTTATGAACTGCTGCAGGCTAGGCTAGGCCATGGAGACAGACAATGCTAGTGTCAACTGTTCTTCATCTCTCCTATAACCAAACCTAAGGCATCTATAACCCGTAAAAGCTACTTGATAAGATTGGTCAGAAAACCAATGTTATAAAAGATGTACACGACATCAACATAAATACACAACCACGATTTCCCAGAAAAGGATCTAAATTTGAAGGCAACCTTGAAAGCTTCATGAAATGCAAAAGAACGTAGACAAATACAAAAAAGGGTTAGGCTGTGGTGGCACATGCCTCTGACCCCAACACTCAGGGAGGCAGAGGCAGGTGGATCTCTATGAGTTCGAGGCCAGCTTGGTCTACAAAGTGACATGGCTATACAGGAACCGTGTCTTAGGCTGGGGGGGGGGGCAGGCTGGAGGGAGAGAAGATCTAAGAAAATAAGATACTCACTGAAGACATGGAAATCATGAAGTCTAAAACTCTGAATTAAAAATTATCCAGCCTAACAGAGAGACGCCCATGGAAGAGAAGGCAGAAAGAACGTAAATGCCAGGAGTAGGGGGAGAGTGCGGTGAAGCACTGTGTCCTGGACATGGTGTGGCTGTCACGCTCATGGACGTACAGCCGCTGTAGCTACCTGCACAAGACCACAGCAGCCAGAATTCCAGCATGAATGGCAGCAAACCTCACGAAGCCTCACCGGTGAAGAGCTAATGGAAGGTGATGGCTGCTGGGGGGGGGGGGAGGAGAACTTTCTTCTTCTATGGGGACATGACCACAGGTGGTTCGCTTGTGCTGACTGGATGGCTCTGCACCCATGAACACGAGTGGCACTAATTGGATCTTGCCCCTTCTGTTTTGTTTCTTAGACATGAAGTTGGAAGGGGAAATGGAGGATTGATAGGATCACATTTCATTGACTATACACGTGAAATTCTCAGCACTGTCCATGAAGAGATGATGATTGCTATTATGAAAATACACGGATATAGAAAGCTCACTATGAGAACAGATACAGGAAGGCAGACAGGAACCCAATGTAATGTGACAGAAAACCAGCAGACCACAAAAAAAATATGTTAGAAGTGAAGGACATGGAAACATATAAAGAGCAGAGTCCAACAAGACTACAGGTAGACGTTCATACCAACAACAACCAGGGGTAAGTGCATCCAGTTCATCAACAACAAAAATCCTCATAGACCAACTGACCCACTGTATTAAGAAAGATCTATCAAGACTCTAGCTCCAGGCTGTGATACAGCAACAGCTCGGTGTCATCCTATTAGGCTGGTGGGAGCGGGTCTCAACCAAGTGCTGCCAGGAACCTACGGCACCAGGCAATCAGACATCATGGTGGTGGGGGCATGGTTCATGAGCTTGGGAGAGGGGCGAGGGCAGTGAGGAACAGGCTGATGTAATTGGCCCCTTAGCCACCAGAGTCCAGGGTCATTTCTGGGCTTGAGCTACTGCCAAGAGCCAATCTTGGTCTGAGGCCCTGAAGCAGCTGAGGGGGCATAAGGTGATATCTGTGACTCTTGTTGCCACTGAGGGCTGTGCAGAGGCCTGCAGTCTGGGCCGCCAGGCTGGTGTCTGAGGGCCACTATGGAAGCCATACCTATCTGGGGCCATGGTGACATTCAGGGTCCGGCTGTCGCTGGGTCCATAGTCAGGGTCTGTGTTGATGTCTGGTGGCCTATGGTGCAACCAGTGGCCACATGGATGCCTAGGGTCTGGGCCAAAGCAGGGCCATGCTGGGTTGAGTGTCACCTGGAACCACCGTGTCGTTCTGGACAAGGCTGGTGATGAGGGCCATGCGAGCAGCCAGGGTCTGAGTTGATGCTCATGGCTCCTGATGCCATTGAAGGTCATGTCAATGCCAGGGATCAGGGGGCCCACTGCTGTGGGAGCCATGTAGAACGGCATGGCCTGCACTGCCACCAGGGCTCGTGTTTACATCTGAGCCAGACTAGGACCATGGCTGGGCTCCCATGCTGCCACAGCCAGGGTCTGTGTTGATATCCGTGGTACCACACAGGGTGAGAGGGGTCGGGTCATAGGGACCAAGTATGCTGAAATCCAATGGCCACACTGAGCTGGCCCCGCCCCTCTTGCCTGGGATGCACACTGGAGTTGGCCCTGTTGTCAGGGACACAGGTGAGCAGGCCTGAGGGGGGCATGAGAACACAGGAGCTGACCAACCCTGCCTTGTCTGCTATGTGGTGGGCTGGGTGAGGAAAAGATGCTTTCTAACTATGGCAGGCAAGAGAGCTTACCCCAGCAGCAGCCTGATCCTGCTTGTCACCATGGCCCCGCTGGGCCCCAGGGTCACGGGAGTCAGAGAACTAACTACCCCTGTCCCTCGCCAGCTGCAGCACACAGGAGAGCAGACCCTGCACCCTGCCAGGGGAGCACACCAGAGCCAGCCATGAGGGCTTGAGAGCACCCATGTATGCCCCCTACAGCAATTGGGAGAGAAGGTCCTATACCTTGTCTGGAGAAAACAGTAGCGCTGTTCCTGGTGATACAGAGTGAGGGGGGACTCGGGTCTGAAGTCCTGAGAGCAGAAGAACTGGCCCCACCCCTTGCTTCGGGCTTCATTGGGTGAGCTAGCCAAGGCAGTGCTGGAGAGCTCATCTGGGTGGTGAGGGTGAGGGACAGCCTGGACAACCTCCACCAAATCTATGAACTGTTGGAGCATGCGAAGGGAACAAGCCTACAGATCCAAAGCTGCAGGATCCCCAAGAGGTGATCAGTGGTGTGCCAGAAGTCAGAGGCCTTGAACCAGACCAATGACTCGTGGCAATGAATACTCGCAAATGAAGACAAAAGAACTCAAGAGCAAACTGTGCAACCCAACAGGCTACACTACAGCCTCCACAATGAGATTCTTCTGGTTGGTTGGTTTGGAGGGGGAGGGGATGAGTCTGCAAGGGCTGAGAGCAGATGGGTGGAATATATGAATAAAAGTTAAAAAAAGAGTGATTTAGCTATGTTCCGCCCTACCCCCCCCAAAAAAATCATTTCATTGGTAAACATACAGATAGCTTAAAAATAAACAATTAAAAAAGATTTTGCATCTGAGTTGAGTCATGTGATAAATCAAGAGGTCACAGAATTGTTTGTGAGACAGTACTGCCATGCACATTCCTCTCGTATGTCCATAAAACAGTCACAGGGTAGATGCCATGTTAGGTCACAAGCAAAGTCTCAGCGTCCCTCAAAATTGAAATCATACTATGTGTTTTCTCAGTCCAGAGTGGAATAAGACTGCAAATCACAAGGATGGAAGGAAAGAATGTGAAGACACAGGAACTGAGCGTCTTCTTAAATGACCAGCAGGGCACGTGAACAAACCAAGTGGGGAAAACATGAAAGTAAATGGTGGTGTAACTAACACTGAACCTCTGGAGTGCAGCAGGAGCGTAAGTCCTGAGAGGGAAACTCATCCCAATACAGGCAAACTCAAAAGAAATTGAGACAGAAGTAAGCTGAAGGTCAGAGCTCTAAATAAATCAGAGGCTTAAAATTAAAAATAAATGAAACAGCTGATTTTTAGGAAGGTTAGTTGACAGTTCCTTAGATAGATGAAGTAATAAATGAATACCCAAATGAATAGAGATAAAGCAGAGACTTACACCTTACATCTGTAGTAATTGCATGTTAAGATTTAGAAAACCTAGCAGAAATGCGTGCGAGTGCATACCACCTTCCAAAAATGAACATTAAGAGACAGGCCAATAGTGAGCAATGAGATTAAAAGTCTACTGTATTGTAAAAGGTAGTTCAGGCCACGATAGTACACTGATGTTCCCGAGCAGAAACACCTAAAAAAGAGCTAATTTTAATTCTTCTTAAACTATTCCAAAAGTTGAGATGGAAGTAAATCTGTCATACTCTTTACTAGATCAATACTCCCTTATATGCTCCCCCCAAAAGAGAAAAAATACAAAATAGACTGACATCACTGAATATAAATGTAAAAATTCTGTGGTTGAGGGTAGGTGGGGGGGGGTCAGGAGAAGGAAAGGGAGGGGAACTGTGATTGGTATGTGAAATGAATAATTTTTTTAATTCTCAATAAAATGCCAGTAAATCAAATTCCCCAGCAAAGCAAAATTTCAAACACCATGTTCAGAAAAACATCCTAGGGATTTAAGGATGGTAGATCATATGCAAGTTAATAAATGTGGTATAAGACATCATGAGAAAAAACATGATCATCATGACAGATACATAAAAATCAGTAACTATGTCATAATAAAGACTCAGAATTTAGCACAAGAAGAATGTGTCTCAAGATACTAACATTTTGTATGAAACCCCCCTACCTATCTGTTCATCCATCCATCCATCCATCCATCCATCTATCCGTCTATCCATCTATCTATCTATCTATCTATCTATCCATCTATCTATCTATCTATCTAATACTACATGGGGAAAAGCTGGAACTATTTCCTGTAATATGTGGAACAAGACAAGGATGCCACTCTCACCACTGTTATTTATATAGTACTGAAAGTCTTAGCCAAAGAAGCCAGGTAAGAGAAAGCAAAAAAGGCAAGAATTGCAGAGGAAGAAATGAAGATGTCAGATTATGTATGTTTGCAGATGAAATGATCCTACATATTAAAAATGACACACACCATGGACAACTGTGAAAACTAACAAATGAATTCAGTTAAGTGGCAAGACAAGGTGAATACAAAGAAGATAGCGCCAGTTTTCTACAAAATAATGAATTTGCTGAAAAAGAACTGGAAAGAAACTCAAACTGTTTAATGATAAAGCAGAGAAGTAAAAGATTTCTTTATAAAATACTGCTGAGAGAAATTACAGAGAACATAACAAATGGAAACCTAGGCCCTATACATGGATTGAAGAGTCAGTGTGTTATTACAACTTTACTATCCCAAGTGATCACCAAAATATTAACTTTCTTCTCAGAAATAGAAAAACAAATTTCATATCGTCTCTCTGTGTGTCTTCGTCTGTCTCTGTCTCTCTTGTCTTTGTATCTCTGCTGGTCTCTGTCTCTCCCTTTCACACATACACAAAACAGAATAAGCAGAGTCACCCTGAGCTGGGCCTGGCGGTATACTAGTGGCATGAGTATTGTATTATGGCATCCTTTGATTGGATTTGAGGCCTGTTCCACAGGAGGGAATTCAGACCTGATGCTGTTAACCTGGTTGAAAGCTTGTGGCTTTGGAGGCCCTAGGAGAAACCTACTGCTGCTACCCAGCTAAACAGTCATATTTGTCAAACCACTTTCAAATGTTTACACTTATTCCCATACATGTGAGCTACTCTCAGCCATGGTAGCCAAGGTTCTTTCCTTAGTGAGCAGGGGTTAATGGAGAGACTTCCTTCTTGTCAACATTCTGAAAATTAGACATCAATAACAATGCCTAAGATGCTGGGAGCTTTACAGAAAAGGGAGTGCAGAGAGTGACCAACAGGAGATGTGGGGGGGGTGCTGTGAAATGTGCCTTTGGGACGTGTTACTGCTGTGCTCCTGACATGGCAGCCATGGTTACCAGCACAAGATCAAGCCACTTAAAGCTTCTGCACAGACAATAGAGTGGCTCATGATGTTCTCCCTGAAATGAAGATGACTGAGGCTGAGAGACGAGTCAGTTTTCTCTAGGGTTGAGACTGCTGGCAGGTTTTCCATGCTGCAGAAGATGACCCCACACCCCCATGTAGAGACATGCATACAAAGAGCACTAATGGGATATAGGAGGTTAAAAACAAAAAGAGGATATGAAATTGGAAGGGGGTGTTGTGCTGGAGTCCAGGAGAGTTGGAGGGAAGAAAGGAAGGTTGGGCGTGGTCAGAACACATTGTACACATGGATGAAATTATCAAAATGTAAAAACATTTTTTAAATAAAGTGATCCTGGGGGAGGGGAGAGCAAATAACTCCTCACACACATAAACCTAGAGGCATCATAGTATCTGACTGTGAGATGATATTAAATAGAGACTAGAGGGCTGGTTTAAAACCACTCGCTGCTCCCTCAGGGGACCCATGTTCACTTCCCTGCACCAGCCCGGCGGCGGTGGCTCAAGACCATTCCTAGCTCCACTACCACTGACGTGCACAATGAGCCCGAGATTGAAATAATAAGATGAAGTCCAACGGTAAGTGAGCTAATGAACTCAGTAGGCAGATCTCAAAAGAAGTCACACAAATGGCCGAGTGCATGAAAATACACCTGGTTCCATCCATTTGTAAAATGCAAACCCAAATCACAGTGCACTTTGGGAGAACCTCAGCAGCAGACTACTAATGCAGCGCTGAACTTGATCTCCAGCAAGGAAACAGAAAGGCAGAGGAAAATCACTGTGACCTACCATCTCATCTCATGTAGACTGGGCATTATCACAAAAGCAATGGCAGCACAGTGAATGGTGAGAAAAGGGAACTCATGTACTGTTGGTGGGAATCTTAATCAATATGGCCACCGTGGAAAGCAATATAGAGAGTCCTCAAAAACAAACAAGCAAACAAAAAACTAAAAGTAGAACCATCATGTATTTACCAATTCCCTATCTGCACATAAATTCAAGCAATGAAATAATTCTACCAATATATTTTTGTAGTTTGATTCATAATAATTAAGATACAGAATCAAGCTAGATGCCCTTTAGACGGACGGATAAACAGGGTACATAATGAAAAAAGAACACCAAGGACTGGGAAGATGGCATTCTGGGTAAACTGCTTGCTAAGCAAGCATAGCGACTTGATCCCAGCATCCACACAAAAGCAAAGCATTGTAATATGGCTCCCCCAGGCCTTGGTGGGGAGGGAGTCAGAAGCATCGCAGGGGCTCCTTGGACGGCCAGTCCCTCTGAAACAGCGACGTCTAGGTTCAGGGGGAAAGTGTCCCAACAGAGTCTGGAGCAATAGTGGAAGGCATCCAGCTTCCACCTCCAGCCTTCACACATGGTACAAACATCTGCACACATGTGCACACACATCACACACACGGGAAAGACACCGCAGGCCATCAGTCAGCTAGAGAAGGAATGACATCATGTCATTTGTAGCAACACACATAGAACTGGAGGCTGTTATAATGAGTGAAGTAAGTCAGACAAAGATAGAATAATGCACGTTTGCTTCCATTTGTAGAAACCAGTCTTACGGAAGAATGAATGGGATAGTGGTCGCTAGAGACCAGGACGTGTAGGGGAATGGGGGAAGGAAAGAGGAGCTCACAGCATGCAGCTATGTGATGAGACAGTCTACGTGAGAGTATTACATTTCCAGCATGATTAATGACTGGAGAGATGAAGTGCTTGTGCCCTGATTTGATTATTAAATACTGTATACATGTGTTGGATTGCTGTAATATACCCCACAAAGATGTACAAATAATATGTCTTACTAAAAATAAACTTAGGGAGAAGTGTAAAAATCAATTGTGAAGTATTTACACAATGGGACATTCCTCATTAGAAACTGTGACATAGATGAATTTCAAAGTAATTATGCAGACTGATAGAAATGAGACAATGGAATATTCATATATGGATTGTATCGTTCTCTTAATAACGAAGTATATAAAGTACAATTGAATATCTAGAGACAAGTCACAGAGTAGTGGCTTCCAGGACCAGGAGGTTGGGCGTGGAAGAGAATGAAGGAAGTAATCCCAAGGGACATGCCACCCTCTCTAATTGATGGACAGGATTACTGTGTTTATTGTGGCTAAGGTTCCCTGCATATATAACTATGTCAGAGTGATCAGATAGCATACTTTAAATGACTATCAATTATACTGCAGTAAACTCATTTTTCAAGTGAATTTTGCACCTTGGTTTTATTTTCTAATAATCCTAGTCATCTAAATATTTTAAACTTTTGGCGGGGGTTCGAGACAGGGTTTCTCTGTGGCTTTGGAGGCTATCCTAGAACTAGCTCTTGTAGACCAGGCTGCCTCTGCCTCCCAAGTGCTGGGATTAAAGGTATGTGCCACCATCGCCCAGCTAATATTTTAAACTTTTTACGTGCTTAAAAATTCCAAACTTAATCATTTTCTGTTATAAAGCTTACTT